ACTCGACACAAGGCGAGACTTATGGCAGAAGGATTTCTTCAGAAAGAAGGAATTGACTTTGACGAAGTTTTTGTACCAGTTGCTAGGACTGAAATAATCCGGTTAGTTTTTGGTCTAGCAAACATGAACAACTGAAAATTGTGTAAGATGGATGTGAAATGCGTATTCTTGAATGACCCCTTAGATAAAGAAGTTTATGTTGCACAACCAGCTCGTTTTATAAAACAAGGTGAAGAAAGTATGGTATACAAGCTCCATAAAACCCTGTGTGGACTCAAACAAGCTCCAAGAGCTTGGAACAAGAGGATAAATAGATTTATAAGAGAGAAGAAATTTGTGAAGTGCACAATTGAGCATGGAGTATATGTAAGAAGAAGTAATAGTAAATTGCTTATACTATGTCTCTATGACGATGGCCTGTTGGTAACAAAAAGTTAGAAGAAGGAGATCGAAAATTTCAAACATAACTTAAGTGAGGAGTTTGAAATGTCATCCTTGGGAAATCTCTCATACTCCTTTGGTATCGAATTCTACAAGAGTAGTATAGGTTTGATGATGCACCAAAGAATATATGCGGGCGAAATACTCAAGAGATTTGAGATGCAAGATTGCAACCCAACTTTGACTCCAACTGAGCCTAGATTGCGACTGTCGAAAGACACAAATGAAGATGATGTCGATCCAATGCAGTAAAGAAGGATCATTGTATCACTTCGATACCTTTGTCACATAAGGCTTAATTTAGCATACAATGTAGGTATGGTGAGTAGATTCATGCAGAAGTTAAAGGTATCACACCTAGCAACAATGAAGAGGATACTAAGGTATCTCAAAGGAACTATCGACTATGGCATTTTATTTTCTACAGCTGATGAAGGAAAATAATGCAAGTTAGTGGGATACACCGACTCAAATTGGTGTAGTGATGCTTAGGATAGAAAATCCACAACTAGCTATATGTTCGTGCTATGTTGTGCACCAATTGCTTAGATTTCAAGAAAGGAACCAGTAGTGGCACTGTCTTCATGTGAAGAAGAATACACAATTGCTTCTCTATGTGCATGTCAAGCAACACGGGTGATGAATTCGGTTAAAGAAATTACAACGAAGAATCATGGAATAATTACCATGAAGATTGATGGCAATCCGTCATTACATATATTCAGTCAAAGAATTGGGGGAAATGATCAAAAGACGAGCCAAAATGATGAAGAAATCCCCAAGACGAATGAAAAATAGCCAAGTATGGAAGAATGAGACTTAATGGAAATTCTGGTGAAAAGGGGTGAAAAACAAGCAGTTACTAGAATAATCACGCACATCATCACGTACTATTGCGTGCGCGATAGGAAAGTAAAGGGTTCATCGCGCGCATGATGCTTTCGTAATGCGCGCGATGACAACATTTTTTCTGAGCTTTTTCTAACGCGTTCTGATTCGTTCTGGCAACTTTAAAAGGGGATTTTCTGCACTTTTATAAGGGTTACAAAATTTGGCATTGAGAGCATGATTTTATAGCATCAGAGGATGATCTTAAGAGCATTGGAAGCCATTGGAGGCCAATCCTTCAAGGGAATTTACATGCTATTCATATTTATTCAATTCGTATTGTAATTATCACTATCTGTAGCTAAATTCTCCTTGGTTAGGTTGTGTTATGATAAACTTTATTAAATCTTATTGGCATTATATGGTGGTTTGAATTTGTATGAATCCTTTGACTTATATTTTTATTCAGTTGTTTCTTATGTTTTATGCTTATTAGTTGAGATACTCTGTTAATATGTTGTTAGATGCATAAGGATTCCTGACTCGTAGCCTATGTATTGGACCTAGAACAACTATTCTACTTAAGTCGGTTGAATAAGGATAAGAGACCTCAAGTAGTGGCACATGGAATTAATGTTGTGTACATCGCTTAACACTGCTTACACTGGCGAACTAGAGATAGAAAGCTCTGAGTAGTTGTTAGTGAGTTATTTCGTGGGAGACTGACTATAACAATTTTTTTAATTTGCCGTAAAATTATAAGGATAAAATCAATTCATACAGGGAATCATACATCAACAAGAGGGGATAAGGGGATTCTAAAACACAATCTGTTTTTCGTGACTTAGTTTTCTCTTTAATTTCTTTTTGCACTGAAATTTGCAAAATCCCTTCTTTTTACTGTTTTTATTTAATATTGCACAAATCATTGTTCTATTTGAACACGATCCTTGTGGGTTCTATCTTTTTATTACCGAGAGAGAGAGAGAGAGAGAGAGAGAGAGAGAGAGAGAGAGAGAGAGAGAGAGAGAGAGAGAGAGAGAGAGAGAGAGAGAGAGAGAGAGAGAGAGAGAGAGTTGAGTGTATCAGAGAGAAGAAATACAAAGTTGAATAGTTAGAATGCAAGAATAACGTCTTTTGAATTCTTCATCCCAAGGTATACGAATGGAAGTAGAGATTGAACAAGAACATGAAAGTCCTTCTGTAAGTAACGTAATCTTAGAAATTACCATCAAAGTAGGTATCCTCATTTTTTTAAATTTCATTTTTCAAACATTTTTCTTGAGAACAAGAAAAAGTTCAAGTTTGAGATTGTGATAGCAATCCTTCATACTATGTTTCTCGAGTTCAATTTCCTATTTTATATAAAACAACTATTAATGCATTTTTGTTTTGTAGGTTTTGAATAAATATTCTGATGATTTGTTAAAAAGACCAAACCAAGTTAAAATCATCCTAACCAAATAAATTATGTGGTATTTTACTGTGAAAGTGACAATGATGAAGCAAGGAAATGACTAGCACACGAAGAACAAAAGAAAACCAGAGAAAAATTACAAGAAACAATCAATAGCAGTGCGACTTCAAAGCTCATCGGCTTTATCAAACTTCCAATAGCCAAAGCATCACATTTATAAGATAGCGACGCAATCCATACATTATGTTAGAATTGCAACATAGATCAAACATCCAATCGCGACACAATTAACTATAGGTGTGACACGATCTTCCATTTTCCAACATGAATTCCATGAATTCCATAAAGATGAATGACTAGCTGTTTTAGATTAGGTTCCTCGGAGATGATTTTACCCTTATCATGTGATCAATGTAGTTCTTTTTGATTTTCTTTTCTAAAATAAATCTCTATTTGGTGATTGGATACTTTTATTCGATTTTATTGCTTTCTCTTATCTACAAAATTGAGAGAATTTATTCAGATAATAATTAAGACCTAGCACAGAGGTTTTCACATACAATTAATAAGGTTATGTGATTATCATAATTGCCCGAGTCTTGAAAGAAATAATCTTAGTCAGTAGTTTAATTTTATGTGTTATAAAACCTTTGTCGGTTACAATAAGATGCGCCTAGCACCTGGGGTTTGTTTCAGACAAAGTGAGTTGCTTTGTAATTACATGCCCCCAATACTTAGAGGGTCGCAAGATTGTAAAACAATATTTTTATTTACGCACTATAAAACTTGTATCCGTTGCGAATTATATGTCCCCAATCGTTATTTGTGAAACAATATTTTAATTTACGTACTACAAATTTTTTATCAAGTGCATTTCAACTCCTAGAGAGTCGGTTTAAACTAAACATTTTTATCAAGTGCATTTCAACTCCTAGAGAGTCGGTTTAAACTAAACATGTTATTTTGCGATTATATGTCTCGACACCTAGAGACTGCACGAGTGTAATACCATATCGTATTTTATGAAAGGTTATTATTGAAATGAAATTATTATATAATTTGATTAAGAGTTTCTCACATATAAGAAAAAGTCATTCTAATAGAATTCAATTTAGAAGGGATTAATAAGATAATAGGAAGATTTAATCGAGCCAAGCACGATCCCATATCAACAAACAAAGGATAATAAGAGGATTCTATATATGGGAGACTAATAGGGAGGTATACTTTTATATTATATATATATTTTATATATTTTAGTAAAGTATGTGTGTAAGTTTACTATTTTTTAAAAGAAAATTACGGCAAAAATGAAAAACAATTTTGTTTAGCTTCTAAAGAAAATATTTTGCAATAGAAGAGAAATACATATAAATATGTTTTTTGTAATTAAAAAACACATAATAACTTAGGTTAAATATCTAAACAATATATCTAAATCATTTATAAAATTTGCTTAGTTAATTTTTGTCTAAAAAATTTCTTTTATTTTAATGTATAGCAATCAAACATGAATATATTATTATTATTATTATTATTATTATTATTATTATTATTATTATTAATTATGTTAGATTTAAAACATATTAACATAATAGATATTATTAAAGAACCCAATAAAATAATATATGCATACAGTAGAAATAGAATATCAAATTTTATTATCATTATTATAGTCTAATGACTTGTTAATAAGAACATTATATATAAAGTCACATGTTTAAACTTAGATCACCCATGTTTTAGCCATTAAATATAAATGAATTTAAATACAAACACTATATTCATACAAAATGTGATGAATACAGCTGTTTGAAAACAAGTACTCCAGTGTCAGTATATACAAGTGTTGTAAATTGCATGATTTGGTTGCTACTTGGTGTGTCCACTATCATTAAACAATCTAGTAGCATGCATTATATGGTAGTAAAAATTAAACTTCATTAAATGTCTATTTCAATCTTACTAATCTTTCAAATTAAAATGTTTACATTCAATTTTTAGTATATAATTATTATTTCTGTTGTAGTAGTTCTTAACCGAAGTTGTTAAAAAGGCATAATGGTGTCGGTGCTTACCCCTTCAAACAATCACAAGGTAAAAAAAAAAAAGCATAACAAATTTTTACATGGCAAAAACATCATGAATATAATAACAGAATAATAATGGTTTGAAAGTAGAGAAAAAAACAATAGTAAATAAATTTAATGTTAGCCCATAAAAAGGCTAAAAAAAGAAAATAAATGATACATGAATGAATGTACTAGTAATAGTAACAGTGTAAGAACAACACAACAGTAATGAAGCCTCTTCTCTAGAACATAAAAAGAATGGCAGCCAAGCCCAATGCCAAGCTTCCCATCATTTTCTGCAAGCATCTCATGCTCTCAGCTCCACTCTGCAGCACAAAGCACAAAATAGCAATAACAAATTTCAGATCTCATTTTCTTTTTCAATCAATTTTTAAAATAATATAAATTTATGTTAAATAAATATTCAGATCTGAGACTACAGTAGTAAATTTCAGATCTGATTTAAAATGTAAGTAAATAGATGAATGTACCTCATCAGCAGCAGAGGCTGGACCGGGAGACGATGCATCGAGACCAGGTCCGGGAGCACCGACCGGAGGTGCGGGAGGACCTAGCAATGACGGTGAAGGTGCTGGTGCACTGTGTTTCTTACCTTTCTTTCCCTTTTTCTTTGGTTTAGTTGGAGCTTGAGCGGGAACTTCAGCCGTCGGTGTTACGGCAGGTGTGGCGGTTGTCGGTGCGGGAGTAGGTGGTGAAGATACTGGAACTGGTGCTGGTGGTGAAGATACTGGAACCGGTGTCGGTGGTGAAGATACTGGAACCGGTGTCGGTGGTGAACTGACCGGAACTGGTGTTGTTGTTGGTGGTGAACTCACTGGCGCAACCGCTGGAGGTGTTGATGCTGGAGATTTAGCCACCGGAACTGGAGCAGCCGGAGATTTAGCCGGAGTGACGGTTACAGCAACGGGAGATGAAGCTGGCGTGGATGCTGATGCTTTCGGAGAAGCAACCGGAGCTGGTGATTTAGGCTTGGAAGGTGCTGCGACGGGTGCGACGGGAGAAACAGTGGGAGTAGAGACTGTTGTTGGAGATGTCGTCGGAGCTGATGACGGAGACTGACCTCCGACGCCGGCGAAGACAATGCAGATCAATGCGATAGAGAGAACGTTTTTGCGATCCATTTTTTGTTGTGTGTGAAGTTTGTGAAATGTGGGAGAGAGATTTATAAAGAAAGAACTGAATGATGAAAGGGAGTTGAATTGTTGATTGATCTGAATCGATCTGGTGAAGTGGGTCCCACGGTAGATGGGACAACACTAGCCGTTAGATTAACTTATTCGGCAAAGAAGCTTCACCGTTATGGGCCCACACAGAACATAGCGACAAAAGAAAATGAAAATTTAGTATTTTATTTGTGAATTAGTTAAATAATACAACTATATGTTTGCTGTATTTATTTAATTTTAATAACATTTTGAAGTGATTATGAAATTGTGAGATTATGCAGTGTTTTATTAATATAATGAGAGGAGTGGGTGGTAAGTAAGTTCTCAAAATATGAAAGGGATTTAATTCAACCAGTCTGGAGTGGGGCCATTAGAGGCATGTGATATGCAACGGTTGGTTAGAAGGGACATTTCATTTGTTATAGACCAACAAAAGAAAAACATTAGGGACATATATTTTAAATGCATGAATCATATAATGACACCTTGGGCAATGAACATATGTCTCCAGCTAGATAAATACTCCAACCTCTGAAAACTTGGTATTAATAAATGTTTATGCTCGTAATCAATCTTATTAACCTCCTCCACTTGCAAAGTAACTTGGACAATTTTGATCATGATGATGAGAATAGGTCTTCATTTCTTGGTCAAAGTTGTATAATCGCAAACATAATTTAACTTAAGTTACAAGTTAGCGGTGCAAAATGAAATGTAATGTGAAGGGTTCAGTTCAAGAAATAAAAACTTAAAACCCAATATAGTAGTGAATTAGTTCAAGGAGTAAAGAATCATCTTAAACAAGTGGTTAGAATATAATCACCGACTCTTAAGTACAATAATAAAACAATCAAATAAAAAGAATCATAATATAGTTTTGTCTAAATTTTTCTATATATAAATTTATTATGTTTTTTAAACTAACATCAAAATACATTAATAAAAAAAATAAAGTCAGAAGACAAGAACTAAAATACTCTTAAGACTTATTTCTATAGGAATAATAATCTTATTCGTTTCTTAAGAAATATTTTTTAATAACTATAATGAACATGGTCCAATCAAGTGAAATATTTATTGGTAAAAACTTAAATTAACGTATAAACAATTTAAAAAAAAAAAAAAAGAGATAATGAAGTTCATGGATTTGATAAGCCTGTTACAATTCAACCACCTAGTTTTGATCTTCCAAAGAATCAAATCATGATTTATGAAAGCTTGCACAACAAATTTAGAATCCGATTATAATAAAAAATGTGTCTAAAAGAATCAAATCATGATTTATAAAGCTTGCACAATAAATTTAGAATCCGATTATAATCAAAAGTGTGTCTAATTGTTCTGAGAAAATAGCTCCCCTGCATCCATTGTCCTTATGTGCTATTCTTGAAGAGCATTACAATCACCAATCAAATACATGAAACATCCCCTGTGCTTAATGTAAGAAATTCTAAAAATTCTCCATCAAACAGAAATAAAGAAAGTGCACATGACCATATCATTTATGTTGTATTTCGTCCAATCAATATATGGAGGTTGCCACAAAACTTCAATCGAAGAAGGAAGTTCAAGAAGATGGAGTTTTATGGAGAGAGAATGCTTTTAGGATGAAGAAATCTAGCACTTTGAGGATTTTGGATTAATGCTGCCAAACAAAGAGGCAATTGAGGATATTATGATAGTATTGTTGAGAATGTAATTCCTTGGGTCGAAGTAGGTGTAGCTCGACAGAAACAAAGATGTGTCAAAATTTATCCTAGTGTAGTGTGTGTCGAGTTGTGTTAGATGCCGAAGTGTCGAAGCAGGTTGTTTGACACAACATTTCGACTTAGACTAAAATATAAATTTTGGCCTTTTGTCTTTTTGGGCTTTACCTTAGGGAGCAAGCTAGCTCAATTATAAATAGGGAGTAACTTTATTATGAATTGTAATACACAACAGAAAGTGCAGTTGCACAGTTGAATAATATTTTCTCAGTTTGAGAACAGAGAGTTACTTTGCAGAAATCATCTTTTTCTTCCCCGATTTTCATCAAACCCTAATCTTCTTTCTTATTTAATTTTCTTTCTTTCTTCTTCCATTAATAATTGTTGCGCAGAATCATTCTTGCAATCAAGGCATGATTGATTCACTCAAGTGAAGAGTGAAGAAGAAGTGATTTAGATCGGTTGATTGAATCTTGTTCATCAAGATTAGTTCAGAATTACTCAAAGTTTTGGGTTAATTCCAACATCTAGTATCAGATCTCTGGTTGAGATTTGTGGACGAGATGGTGATGAATCATCCAAACGGGCATTTTTCAACGGGTCTCCCAATTCTAAAGGGTCAAAAGCATGAGAATTGGTGCAAACAGATGAAGGTGGTTTTATGTTATCAAGATCTTTGGGATCTTGTGAAGGAAGGAGTAACACCGCTTACAGAAAGCGCGTCAGATCAAGAAAAGGCTGCATACAAAGAGTTGAAGAAGAAAGACTATAAAGCTCTCTTTATAATTCATCAATGTGTTGATCCATACAATTTCGAAAAGGTCAGTGAGGTAGAATTAGCAAAAGAAGCATGAGAAATCTTGGAGAAATCGTTTAGAGGCGCAGAAAAGGTGAAAGATGTGAGGTTACAAGCTCACAAAAGAACCTATGAATTGCTTCAGATGGAGGACAATGAAAGCATACCTAATTTCTTCACTTGGGTTACTAAATTGGTGAATCAAATCTAAGTATGTGGAGAAGTATTGACATCAAGATCAATTGTTACAAAGATCTTAAGGTAACTGGCCCAAAAGTTCGACCACATGGTAGTAGCCATAGAAGAGTCGAAATATTTGTCAACATTGACAAAGGAAAAGCTTCAAGGAACGCTTGAATCTCATGAACAAAGGATGGCTGAAAGAGCAGCAGGCAAGTCAAAGAGTGATATGACTTTGCAAGCGCAACCAGCAAAAGAAAAAAAAGGCAAAGGAAGTTGGAATGGCAACAAAGGCAGAGGAGGCTACAACAACTCGACTGGTCGAAATCAGCAAGAAGGAAACTAGTCGAATCAGAGAAAGATGATGGTGCTGCAGATAGAGGAAGATGTAGTGGTCGAAAAACTAACAAAAGTCACATTCAGTGTTACAATTGTCAGAAGTATGGTCACTATTCTAGTGATTGTCTAGAAAAGAAGAAGAATAAAGAAACTGATGCAAAACTGGTGAAACATGAAGAAGAATAGAAGTTGTTGATGGTCACAACAAGATATGAAGAAAAATTACAAGACCAATGGTACTTGGACTTAGGATACTCGTCACACATGACTGGTAGGAAGGATTGGTTTATAAACATAAAACCCTCAATAAAGAACATGGTGAAATTTGCAAATGACAATACTCTAGCCGTTGAAGGTATTGGTGATGTTCTAATTATGAGGAAAGATGGCAAGAGGTCAGTAATTTCCAATGTATTGTACATACCAGACAATATGATGAGAGCAATTTGCTCAGTATAGGGCAGTAGGTCGAAAAGAACTACAAGGTGTCGATTAAAGACAATATGATGAGAGTTATCGATTAAAATGGAAGGTTGATCTTGAAGGCTCCAATGTCTCAGAATAGAACCTTTAATATTGAGCTTAATGTGATGGAGCATAAGTGTCTCACAACTGCAGCCAGTAGAGATGAATGGATATGGCATTATAGACTTGGTCATCTCAATTTCAAAGACATCAGAGATTTGAAGCGAAGAAATATGGTTTCAGGATTACCAGAAATTGACATCCCAAACGAAGTATGTGAAGAATGTGTGCAGGCGAAACAGTACACGAACAACTTCAGCAAGGGTGCAGAAAGCAAGTCAAAGGCAATTCTTGAATTCATATACTCTGATGTATGTGATCTTATCCAGGTGGATTCGATTGGAGGTAGCAGATACTTTGTCACTTTCATAGATGATTTCAGTTGAAAATTGTGGACTTAACTGATTAAGAAGAAAAGTGAAGTGATCGAGGTATTTTCCAAATTTAAATCTATGGTCGAAAGACAAAGTGGTTGAAAACTAAAGATTCTGAGGACTGATGGTGGTAGAGAGTATGTGTCAAAAGATTTAGATGCATTATGTGAGAAAGAAGGGATTATGCATGAGGTGGTGCCACCCTACACTCCACATCAAAATGGAACTATAGAAAGGAAGAATAAAACCATCATGAATATGGTTAGAAGTATGTTGAAAGGCTAGCATCCACCTAAATAATTATGGGGAGAAGTTGTGTCGGCTGCAACATACATCTTGAACAAATGTCTGACGAAAAGGTTAGAAAGAATTACGTCAGAAGAATGTTGGTCTGGTATCAAGCCTAGTCCAATTCATTTGAAGGTGTTTGTATCTATAGCATATAAACATGTGCCAAATCAGTTGAGAAGAAAACTTGATGACAAGTTGAGTCAAATGATCTTGATAGGATATCATTCGACTAGAAGATACAAGTTGTTCTACCCGGTGAATAAGCAAGTAATGATCAGTACGGACATGATCTTAGATGAGCTTAAAGAATGGGAATGGATTGAGAATGTTAAGAAAGATTCAGTGAGAATCTTATGTGAATAACTAACTACTGAAATCGAAAGAGAAGTTCAACAAGAAGAAGTCATAGGTGATGCAGGCCCAAGCAGGCCTCAATGAATAAGACACTTGCTTGCAAGGTTGCAAGAATGTGTGATTACATCAGATGATGTGGTCAATGAAGAATGTGAGTTGGTACACTATTCTTTCTACGCAGATGTCGAACCAGTTAATGCAACTGAGGCATTGAAAGATTCAAAGTGGAAGAAAGCAATAAATGAGGAACTAGAGTCCATCGAAGTCAACAATACTTGGTCACTTGTCGAATTTCCTCAAGGCATTAAAGCAATCAATGTAAAGTAGATATACAAGGTGAAGTTGAATCCTAAAGGAGAAGTTTGACACAAGGAAAAACTTGTATCAAAA